TGGGGCGGCCACCTCAGGTGCCAGACTGGGGGGGGGGCGGTGCGACTAGGACCCAGAGTGTAGAAAATTGTGTCTGCTGCTGGTACATCTGTATTCTCTCTGCTCTAGATGCACAGAGATGGGGGAGTGCGGTGTTGGAGGAAGGAGGGCACAAGAGACATAACAGGCAGGCAGGAGAAAAGGGGGCATGAGGGCATCATTTGAGCTCCTCGCCTCAGGTGCCAATGTAAGCAGGGTCAGGGTACTGCTTACAGCTGCATCTACTGTCCACCTGCGCGTGCTGGTTGTCCCTTGCAAACTGCTCTGCTAGTAGCCCAGCAGCACAGTGCCAGGCTCCCCTCAGCTGTCGTCCGCAGCACAGCACACAGTGATTTCAGCTCATCAGCACAGCACACAGTGATTTCAGCTCATCAGCACAGCACACAGTGATTTCAGCTCATCAGCACAGCACACAGTGATTTCAGCTCATCAGCACAGCACACAGTGATTTCAGCTCATCAGCACAGCACACAGTGATTTCAGCTCATCACAGAGGAGCTTTAGCGCTAGTGCTCCACTGGCCCACAGTGAAGTTAACTCCACAGCTCACAACGAGACTCCTAATGGAATCTAAATTAACTTTGAGGCTATGTCTACTCTGACCCCTTTTCTGAAAGGGGCATACTAATTTGACAGGTCATAATAGGGAAATCCACAGGGATACAGCATTTAAATAAAAATGTCCACTGCTTTTTTCCAGCTTTTAGAAAAGCCAGAAAAAAAGCATCAAACAGACATTTTTATTTAAATCCCCCACTGATTTTCCTCTTATGACCTGTCAAATTAGCATGCCCCAAAAAGGGTCCAGTGTAGATACAGCCTAATAGTCCACAGAGAAGAAAAGAAGAAGTACAATCAGGGTTGTTTAGACCCTCAAACAAGGCCCCACCACCAGATCCAAAGATCTATCCCCAACCTCTCTCAATTTGACTGGGTTTGGAACCCATGCCCCTTGTCTAGCGAGTGCTACTTAGTTTATGGCGAATCCCTCTGTCATAAACAGTTCCATCATTCCATTGTCCTTGATTTGCATAATCAGGGTAACAACACTTTTATCCCCCCTGCCTCAATAACAGAGAGACTGGGGCTCCCACAGTGGCCAAAGTGACGATTTGGGCTGCTGTGAGCACATACTAGACAGGGTGGGTGTGTCTATGCAAATTCGGCTCAGCCCCTGAAGTCTCTTTGCACCACTTGCCACAGTTCGCCACTAGATGTCAGGATAGAGTTTACCCTGACTCTGCTTACACCAAAATGTTGTGGGCCGGCCCTGGTGTGGACAGTCTGTCTCTCAGGCTACGTCTACATTGGCCCCTTTTCCGGAAGGGGCATGCTAATTTTTCAGATCGTAATAGGGAAATCCGCGGGGGATTTAAATATCCCCCGCGGCATTTAAATAAAAATGTCCGCCGCTTTTTTCCGGCTTTTAGAAAAGCCGGAAAAGAGCGTCTACACTGGCCCCGATCCGGCCCGATCCTCCGGAAAAAAG